TACGTGCTAAATTAAGGGCCAACATTCAGAGAAAGAATAAACTATATGCGAGGCAACCTAATAAAGATCATAAGACAATTGTCTTTGAGCTAGGAGATTGGGTTTGGGTAGACTTGCAAAAAGTGAGATTTCCAAAACCTCAAAAATCTAAGTTGCAGCCAAGAGGAGATGACCTTTTTCAAGTCTTAGAGTGGATCAATGATAATGCTTATAAAATAGATATGCCTATTTTCTATGTTAATGTTAGTGTTGCTTTTAATGCAGCTGATTTATCTCTCCTTGATGCTGCAAATTTGAGGATGAATCCTTTCAAGCAGGGAGGAAATAATGGAGGAGCATGGTGTGATTAAGATCAAGCTTCAAAGGAATAGCAAGGAGTCCAAGCAGAGAAGATAGAAGTCCAACATTCCAAAAAACTCATTATAAGGCATTGGAGGCCCAATGACAATAATAAAGACCAAAGCTATGAAAGAGGCCCTAAATTGTTTAATATGAGAGTTTAAAAAGTTGAACCCCATTTATTTGGAGGAAGCATATTTTACTGAGCCCAACAAGAGTGCAAGAATGGTGATCACATTACTAAAAGCCTAACAAGATGATATACAAGGATCATATGGAATCCATATTAAAGAATTTACTTAAAATATCATGTGACAAGCATGTGTATAGGAGGAGGATCACATTGATGTCCAAGAATCTTCTAAAAGCATCAAGAATGGTTCCTTGCGCATTGATTATGATTTAATTTTGCTTTTAGAAAGTTTTCCTTTTCATTTGCTTTGAATAAGGCTTTTTGCTCAAGCATCGTTCTAGAAGATAATGTTCTAATATAGTTTCCTATTTTGGGTATCATACTTGTTCATAAAATTAAAGTTATTTGCTTTTTTACTTTATGTAATAAATAGTGTCTTGTATAGTCAAATAATCATTAATAGACACTATCTCTAGCATTTATATCTTAGAATTCTGATTCTAGCGTGTCTTATGATTGCCTATGTATACGCTACATTTTTTTATACTTGAATTTTAGACTTGGATAAATAAGAATTGTTTTTATTTCTTTTGTATGAGCCTTTCTTGTATTCTTATATTCTTATGAGAATGCTCAACAGTATTAAGAGATTGATTAACCTTGTATCTTTATGGTTAGGGTTGTAAAAGACAACTTCTCTTAATGTCCTGCGTCAATTATCTGTTTGGCTCTCTTCTTGTTTCTAGTTGATCGATACCAAACCTAATATCAAGTTGTCAGCCCTTGTAAATTTTATGGATAAATGAAAATTTCAAATCCAATAATTAACGACCCAAAATTGAAAATTCACAGCCTAAATTTAGTGATTTACAAGAAATATAAGAGAATTTATAGCCTCCCAAATGAAATTGATTTGGCAGGAACGAACAACCTTAAATTCAACATTTCATAATCACAATTTCTCAATTTGCAATCAGATTTAACAATTTACAGGAAATATAAGAAAATTCACAACTCTCAAATGCAATTGTTTTGTTGTGAATAAACAGCTCAAATTCAACGATTCACAACTGAAATTCGATAATTTATAACCCAAATTTAATGATTTGCAAGAAATATAATAAAATTTACAACCTCAAAATATAATAAGGATATTTTTGTCATTTCACCCATAAACTTTGGTCCTTAGATGAAGTGAAATTTCATGAATGTTCTGTGAGTTAGTTGATATTAATTGTCTAGCAGGGTTTACTGTAGTTCTTCCAAAGTTTTAACTCCATTCAATCATTCATGAAGAAAATGGCGGGAGGGCAAAAGGACTGAAGTGGAATTTAAAATTCCCCAAGAGTAAGACCAAACCCCTAGGAATGTGGGTCTTGACCAATTTTCACTGTGAACCCGAAAATGGCGTTTTCTTCTCTGAAACTGAAATCTCTTGCTCGGGCGGTCTCATCATCAACCTCTGCTTCTTCTGCTTCGTTTTCCAAGTCGAAATCGGTCCTTCCGCAAGACTATTGGCGATCCTATGCCAAATCTTCTTTTACTTCTGCTGCTGCAGCAAATAGTGGCGACGACGTCGCCGACGTCGTTCCTAGTTCTGGAATCAGTAGGCCCCTCTCTGAAATACTTAAGGAGCTAAACAAGAAAGTCCCTGATTCATTAATCAAAACTCGCGTTGAGAAAGATGGGTTCCCTGTTAAATACATTCCCTGGTATTCCCTTTGTTTTTCGACTCTACTTACTGTCCTTGTTTGGTTCCCGAGAAACTAATAGAAAAATATATTGATTTAAATTTTAGTATTCTGTGCCTTGGTATGGGGGTATCGTTGTTCATGACCTTTTGTTTTCAGCTCTATTAATGGTGTTCAGATGTTGGCCTGTTGAGTTTTTCTTTAGTAAATCAAACCCCGCCGTCGTTTGTTTTCAATGCTGATAATAACTTATTTTCCTATTGCTGTAAATTTCTTGTTCAGGCATGTGGTGAACCGTGTTATGAACTTACATGCTACTGGTAAGCAGTTAGTCTTATTGTACTTTTAATGATGATATTCTTTTGGATAGCTGATTTGTTAAAATGTCTATCAACGTGATGCCTGTTTCAATATTGTGATTGCTGATAGAGTGGTCTGGTGAGGTTCGAAACATCAGCTATAGTGCTGATGGCAAGACTGTCTCTGTTGTTTATCGCGTGACTCTCTATGGGACTGATGCCGAGGTATCAATTTTTTTTTTTTTTCTCATGAAATTACGCAACGAGATATCCTGTTTTGTTTTTAATGCTTGAGGAAGATTAGAAAGAACTTTTCATGATGGCAAGAACGTAGGTGGCCATGAAATTTTAGGTTTTAAAGGAATAAATCACCACACTAAGACTAGTGGAACGGGGAAATAGTTACATCTATTCTCTGATATATTTAGCATATTAATTGATGGAAGTTTACTGAACCTGGACATGAAGTACTCAATATTCTTGTATTTTGAGCTAAAATGAGCCGGATCTAATTCCCTGATAAGCTAGTTCAGCCTATCGAATAATTTTTACATTTATTAAATGTTCCATTAATGCGTGCATAATAATAACTTTCTACACTGAGAACTTTATGAAAAAGTAGTATATGAGATCCTATGCCTGCAACGTTGGCTAAACTTGAGTACTATGCATATACTGAGCTAGGTATTTGTAAACATAATGACTTAGTTGTCCTACTTAGCCAATGTCAAGCAAGGACAGCATGATTCGGTCTTTATACTTTGTGCATATTATAGAAACTGAAATGAGTGACACAGAAGTGCATTATATATCAATGCTTTATTTAGGCAGGGAAATAGAGTTTGCTAGTCCAAGTTTGTCAAGCAAGGACAGCATGATTCGGTCTTTATACTTTGTATGGGTAAACATCAAAACCCTGAGTTGAGTACGCATTATTTTTTGCATCTTTGCTCTTGAACTTCATGTATTTTAACATCCTTATTTAAAACTCATTCTTTGGTCTTATTTACTCTTTTTGTTTACTCACTGAAGGTATAATATGCTCCATTTATAGAGGAACAAGGCTACATAATTAAGCATTGAAAGCAAGATAGTAGTAAAAATAAGACTAAACACGTCAGACTCTAACTAATTTATCAAGATTTGGTGATAGTGAAAATAAAGATGCTAGTGGTTATTCAGTGAAATGGCTGTAGACTCTTCTATCCAGTCGAATGCGCACATAACGAGTGGAGAGTTTAAAATTCTAACTTGTTAAGGTGATCATATTATAGAAACTGAAATGAGTGACACAGAAGTGCATTATATATCAATGCTTTATTTAGCCAGGGAAATATAGTTTGCTAGTCCAAGTTTTGGTACATTTGGCCAGAGTATGCAGAGTTTAGTCTTATTTAGTCTTCTTTAGAATATTGTTTTGTCATCTGTCATGCCACCTTTTCCTGTAGATTTATAGAGAGTCAACTGGCACTGCTGCAATAGATGACACAAACTTTGGAGATCCTGTACAGAAAGCAGAAGCCATGGCTTTTCGTCGAGCTTGCGCACGCTTTGGGCTAGGGCTTTACCTTTATCATGAAGATGCATCATAGACAATTGGTTCTGCTATTCAAGTTCAAATGGCTTGTGATTGCCATTGTTTCTTCTTTTGTTTGCAGACCTGGTCTATTAATAGGAAGATCATATACATAGGGATAATACCAATAGGAAGCCATTTTGTTTATTGTCACTTTCAAATTTCACTGGGCCTCCACAGGCTTCTGTTGTAGCACTCTAGCATGTAAGATTTTCCAGGTCATATATCTTTTGGATTCTTTCCATTGATCTGCCTTGCTTACATGCAGATTGAGGGAAATTGTATTGCTGTTCCTTGTTAATGAAGGTATATTACTAAAATCATCCTTTATTTCTGTTTTAGTACATTAACTACTGTTAGTATTTTTATCTTTGAAAAAAGAAATCCATATTTATCCTTTCGGTTGCTGCATTTTTATTTAAATTAAGAATACTCCCAAAATCAGCATCTTTTGTATTTGATTCTTGCTGATGTGTTTGGGTAATGTAGAATATTAATATACATAATCAAGTGCATAGGAACTCGCATTATTCATTAACTATGAATAATGTGAATAATGTGATTTATGTCAGATTCTGTATAAAGCACTGGGATAACAGTCTAGTTAATTTTCAGACAAGTCTATCGGGTTGAAGTTTTATCGTTTCTTGAGAAACATATCAGAGCGTAACTAGTTTATCTAGATATGGTGGCCGTGAAAATAAAGATGCTGCTGATATTTTGTGAAATGATTGCAGAGTCTTGCATTCTGTCCAACGCGCACATTACATGCAGATTCCAAAAAACTAGCTTTCTTATTAAGATGATTGTGTGTGTGTGTGTGTGTAGAGGGGGAGAGAGACTGAAATGAGTGATAGAGAAGTAAATTATATATCACTACTTTATTCAGCCAGGGAAATAGAGCCGGCTAGTACAGATAGTTTCGGTACATTATGGCTAGATTATGCTGAGTTAGGAGATAGCTAAAGAAGAGCCATCTGCTGAATATTAATGGGATAAGAATCAGAAGGCGGGCCATTAACAGCTCTCCAAGAGAAGACATATGCTGCAGATTGTGTTGGATGGAAAGCATCCCAAAACACATATTGGCCTCTGTTCAGGCATGGAACTTGAAGTGGAAGACATGTTATCTGCCCTTGGTTCCTTCCAATTCCACAGCAGCCTCTATCAATCACACTGAATGCTGCACAGCATCGCCATAGTACCATTTCGGTCAAGTTAGTTTATCACATCCTTTTATGTGAGAAGAGGAGACGCACGCACACACAAATTTGAATCCTGAAGCTTGAATTTTGCAGTGTCTCTTAAGAGTGTGTATGGGTGTTCGTCTGAGAGAGGGTGAAAATTTAAGTGCACACATACAATTCTGGATCCTGAATCTTGGAGTTTGCGGGGTGTAGCGAGTTTTTTTTTTTTTTTTTTGGGGGGGGGGGGTTTTGTAAAATTAAGCGAGTCTGGGATATTCCCACATATTTTATCACTCTCTTAGAGACATGAGAGATTTCCCACTTAAGATCTAAACACACAAATGGTTTAAAAAAGGATTATATACACAGCGTGGAGGACATATACAAAATGAAGCATGTGGTGTGCATCTAAAATGAAGGAGCAGCAGAGAAAGAAAAGGAGTGGGTTTAAATTTCACTTACTGTGTGTCTCTTTCATAGGCTCTTCACAGATTTCATACTTCAGAAAATCAAGATTAATACAGACAGTTTGTTTAAGGGATTATATGCACACACGCACATAGATATACAAGATTGAGAAAAAGAATAGAAAGGAAACCTAATGAAACACTATGAGGCAGTGAGCCTTGACCAAACTCTGTGTGTGTGAGAGAGAGAGAGAGAGAGAAAGAGAGAGAGAGAGAGTTCATATATGTTAGATGTAAGAGGATCTAAATGAATATAGAAACAAGTTGTTTAAGTTGGGACTAGAAAGCTTACAGTAGGCAGCAGGGTTATTGAGGATATCACCAAATACAGCGTAAGTATTGCCGTAAGCAGACATGGCATCAGGGTGGTTCTTATTGAACTGCTCAACCATGGCTCTGAGGCCTTCATTGAAGGTCCCAAGCATCTGGTTCACCTCATCTGCACACCTTCCAGGTAGGGCCCTTGCTCTCTGGTTTGGGATGCATCCCAGCGGCTTTACCCCTGCTATGAAGAACTTCCTTAGCCCTAAACTGTATAGTGCCTGCAAATCCCAGCACTTCAAATCATATGGCTCCTCATAAATCCTTATTTTACTCTATTTCTATAAATGTCTCTGCACAGAATCAATTGTTGAGATATGTATGTGTATGTGTAGGGTGGAAATAGGCTAGGCTAAGCTAGGCTTTAGCCAAATAGATTTGGGCCTGCATCAGAGATCTAAAACTTGGGTCTGAACCTGAGCTTGCATGTAGGCTTTTTTTTAAGCTCGAGCCTGAGCCTTCAAAAGGCCTGAAAGCCTTTTTAAAAGCCTACTTAAAATTTAGATATTTAAATAGGTTTAAAAGCACATGCCTCCAAATTCATGTATAACTTTTCAAACCTATTTTAAGGCCTACGTTATGTCTTAAAAGCTTAGGTCTATTCTCACATATAATATAAGATAATAAGAGTCTAGTAAGGAAAAAGAATGTTTAGTGACAGCAATTGTTTTAGCAAATATGGATAAGAAAAACCAATTATATGTTGACTAATATATTTTCTAAAATTAACCAAACCCAACAAGTGGCATGTAATTAAAACTAGATTTTACCTCTTGCTTTCATTTGGGCATCACTAAAACAAATTTAATACAATTATTATGGTTTAGTTAACGTAAATCAGGGGAGAGGGAGTGAGCTAACATAGTCATCTTGAGTGATTAAAGAAAAGAAATGTAGAGGTGAAAGATTGATTGATGAAAGGGTTGCGTTTGTGTGTGAATGATGAGATGTGAAACTTAGGATTATGGCTAAGTTAGTAATTTTATAAATAATTTATAAAATTAATCTAGATTATATTATATAATAGTGTAAATTAAAAAAAAAAAGGCTAAATAGGCCAACCCTGTAGGCTTGCAGGGTAGACCTTATAAAAATAGGCCTGGCTTGTTTATCTAAATAGGTCTTGCAATAAGCTTAAGCCTAACCTATTTACTAAATAGGCTAGGCTAGGCTTGAAGTAGGCTAGACTGTAAGCTCCTGATAGGAGCCTAGCCTGCTTCCACCCCGTGTGTGTGTCTATAAATTGCTGCGTAGCATCTGTGCGATCCCTCGAGTTTAGATCTGGTTTTGAGTGGAAGGCCAGATCATGGATTTTATTAATTTAACTGTATCTTTCTTATTTATTCTAAAAATGGGTAGATGAAGTCCAAACTCCGTTGTGATCGCTCAATAATTTAGGCGTTTTTTCAATTGTATTTGATATCGAGTTCCTCAACTGAAACATGATAAAACCATGCTAACAGTGCAATTATTCTTCATTTCGGGGTTTAATGAAAGGTTAAGGTACAAATTGATTTTAAAAGTTTAAAATTATAGCAATTTTCACTCTCACTGTTAAAATTTTAACAGTTTAAAGGTATGGACAAATATTCTATGATTTTAAATTTTCAAGACAAATTTGCACCAAAAATTTTTTTGGGTATCAAGTGCTCTTAAATAAAATTTGAGGCAAATTTGCACCGTAACCCTTTAATAAACTTTGAATTATTTTGGAGTATTAAATATTAAAGAGTTAAGATTCAAATTTATCTCGAAAGTTTTTATTTAAAAATACCAGGCACATAAAAAGTTTTTTAGGTACAAATTTGTTTTGGAAATTTAAAATTGTAATAATTTTGCCCCCACGATTAAAAAAATTAATACTGACCATTAAAATAATGACATTGACTATTAACATTTTACATGGTAAGAGGTAAAACTTTTAGAGAAAATTTGTATATGAAAAAACTTTCAGATGTCCAATACTCTTGAGTGAAAAAAAAAACTTTCAGGGCAAGTTTGCACCTTAAACCAATATTCAATAATTACTCCCTTAGACGTTTAATATAAGAGTTAGTTGAGAATCTGGATATAATTCTAAGCATATGATCTTACTTCACTTTATGTCCCAAATTTATAATATATTTTTCAAAATATCCCTAGTGATTGTACTACCTCTAGTTCTTAATATAAGAGTTAGTTGACTAATTTGAGTAGAGTAAAAAATTAGTTAAATTAGTTATTTGTAATAAATAAGTGTATCCTTTTCTAAAATATCCTTATTAAACAAGTGTATTATTTATAACTATGAAAAAAATGAATAAATATGAGAGATAAAGTGAATTTGAATCTTATACTTAGAATCAAAATAAAAGTTAAATGAGTTTTTATATTAAGAACTAGGGTTAGTATGTATCAAGGGGTTTCTACCAAATGGAAGTTCCAATACATATGATTTAAGAGAATAGTTTAGGCAAACCAACATATGCTTATTATCAATAGTCAATTTAACTAATTTTCTTAATATTTTCAAGTTAGTTATCTTGTTCTTATATTAATAATCACAAGAAGCATCTAATATTGAGATGGAAAATGTTATTTGAATATATATATTAAAAAACAGGCATTAAGAAAAATATTACCAGAATTTGACGAGCATAGCTATTAAGAAGAAGGTTGCCAAACTGTTGGGGATTATAAAGGTAACTGGAATTGTATAATGTAGGCAATAGATAGTTGTTGATATAATCGTCGCTTCCAAACGCCAAAATTGCTATTGATTTGGCCAAGTATTGGCTCAATTGTGTTCCATTAATCATTGTTCTCACTTGATTCAATGTGTTCTCAAAGTTCAACACTTGCTGGTTCAAGCTAAACCTCTCACCCTGCACATAATATATACACTAATTAATGCATTGGAAAATAAAAAAAAGATAAATGTGCAATTTTATTCCTGATTTTATTTCCCAGGTAAACCCTGGATCCCGGTATTTTTAGTGGTGTAATTTTACTCATAATTTTTTGGGGTGCAATTTTACCCATAATATTTTTTGTTGTTGTAATTCTATCATTGATCTTATTTCCCAATTGCGTAAACATAAAAAGATCACAGATAAAATTGCACAACAGAAGGTCAGGGGTAAAATTGTATCACTAAAAAGATGGGGATACTAAGTTCACCTAATATCAGGGCAAAATTTCACCTTTAAAGTATAAAATAATGAGGTTTCTTTGGATCTTTAAAAAGGCACTACCTCTGGTTCTTAAAATAAAAGCTAGTTAATTAATTTGAGTAGATTAAAAAAACTAGTTAAGTTAGTCATTTGCAATAAATAGGCATTGTTTTTTTCCTAAAATATCCTTACTAGTCAAAGAAATTGATTAGAACTACTGTTATTACAAGGACTATCTTAAAAAAATAGATAAAAATGAGAAAAAATGGATTAGGGTCTTATATTTAAGACCAAAATAAAAATCAAATGAACTCTTATATTAGATACTAGAGGTAGTACTTTATAATTAATTGGCTGGGTTGGGTTGATACGTCTGAATTTAGTAACTTAAAGGGATGTATAATTGATGATTAGGGTTTATTCACATTGTTGAACATTTAATTTAAGTGAATTCATTATTAAGTTTTAAAGGTTAGGACGATTATTTGTGTATAACTCAAAATTGAGGAGAGGTTGTAATTTGTTTAATTTAGTATACACTAAATAATAAAATGAAAATAAAAAGTATTTACTGAAAGTTGAAAGCATATTATGAGTACAGGGAGGGTAATGTACGTAGTGACGGCCAGTTTCGTCAAGGATGCCACAAGCGGCAGAAGCATAATTGACTCCATTAAGGATTCTGGTTCCTCTTGTTGTGGGATCTGCATATGCTGGTGCTGGAGGAACCCCTAGCATGGTTCCTGCGAACATATATTCCCAATTTTTACTTTTAATCAAAACTGGATAATAATTTAAAATATTTTTTTAATGTTGTGTTTATTTTCTTAACGTTTAAACTCTGTTGAAATGGATTACATGCAAAGAAAAGAGTAATTAAAATGCGTAAAAAATACAAAACAAAAGGCCACGGAAGCCTAATGAAATAATGTACTTCTATGCTTCACAATATAAGTCTGATTTAAACGGATAAAAAAAAAAAAGTAGTTAAAAGTAAGAACGGGAGTAGACTAGATCCCTATCAGGACGCTTATAGTCTAAATCTACATAAAGCCTAGCTTAGTCTATTTATTTCAGCATCATATTCAGGCCTATTTAGGCAACAAGATATGCTTATTTTCATAAGGCCTAGCTTATAGGCCTACATACTCGACCTATTTAATCTTTTTTTAAATTGCGCTCTTATATATAACATAATATACATCAATTTTATAAATAATTTATAAAAGTGCAAATTTTGATTTGGCCATAATTTCTACATCACAACATTCCTATATAAGACCGGCCTCCTTTCATTCATTAATTATTCACCTCTACTTCTCTTCTTTATGATAACTCAAGATGGCAGTGCCAACTCACTTCTTCTCTTACGATTAAAAAAAAAAAAAAAACAGACATTTCAGAAAATAAAGTAGACATGTCCAACCAAAAAACAAAAAAGACAAGAAAGAAAGAAAAAACATAGTACTATATGACTTCTTAACATAAACTTAACATTAAACAGATGGACTAGCATTAGAAATTATGAAGAAAAATTTCAGTTACCAAAAATAAAACAAAACAACTATTAATGCATGCAAATATATATATAACAATCGAAACGTTTAGTAAATAATTTCTACGTACCAATGAAGTCAATAATGTTGAAGCCATTAGAGAATCTACCAGTAGGACCACCTCTCAAATCAATTCCATAAGGATAGTAATTGGACTTGGCTAAAGTGTTTAAGAAGTTATTGTTTCCAACGTCCACCAGTGAATCTCCAAACACAAACAAAGCTGGAATCCTCTGTGGTGACTGTGATTTCACTTCCATGCACATCATCATCATCATCATCATCAGAACCACACCAATAATAATCAAACCACTCACAACTTTATGATGATTATTCCACTGACCCATCATCATTATTTCTCTACCTCTCTCTGTTTAGATTTTCAGAGAAACCATGAATATATAATTACTGATGAACCAAACGAGGTATGTGTGCACATATATATAGATATATAAATCTGTGTAGTAGTGATGCTTAATTTTATTTGTGGTTTCTGAAACTGTTAGAGTTGTTAATTTGTTGCAGAAAATGATGAAGTAAAGCCCATAGAATCAGTGTGTGTGGTTTTTTCTCGTGTTTTTGGCTTTGCCTTTTCAACGTCTTTATTATCTTTTTATTATTTTAGTTGACGGTATCTTCATTTTCGTAACCATTTCATCAAGTTCTGAAACGACTATGTATAGTACTCTTTCTGATCTTATTTATAAGATGGCTAGGGAGAAAAAAAAATCATTTTTAGTTTTATTTATAAGTCATCTCATTTAATTTTTAGCATGAATATGTTATTTTATCCTTAATTTATTATATTACAGGCACTTATTTATATATATAAAATAAATAGAGGTAAGGTTTAAAAAACTGACCTATTTTAAGAAAAAATTAATGCGAGTCAAGATTTTTCTTATTTTGTGTGAAATATATTAAAAATACCTTATTACAGTACATAAGTAGTAACATTGAAGCTACGTTTATGATATGCATGTGGTTTGTGCTTCTCTTTGAAATAAAATACTAAAAGTGATGCCCGCCGCTAGAATTGAGCCACTTTGAGAACACAGAAACATTAATTGGCACCAGAAAGCATTTCTACTTCCTGCCTTTTACATTAGTTGCTGGATGAATGGTATAGAAAGTGTGATCCATGGTAATTTTTGCAAACAAAATGTGAGACTGTTGTTGATTTTCTATATTAGTTTCATTAGTAACCGGTTTTTTTAAAAAAATAATAATTTAAATTATTTAATTTTTGAATCAAATATGTTTTTAAAAAGTGAATTAATTTATTTATTTTAAATAAATCATTAGTGTAGAAAGGTAAAGTTAAGATTTTTTTCTTTTCAAGAAATTATCTTTTCTACAGGCGATATCTACATCAGTTACAGAACTGATATAGAAATATTTTCATCGTAGTTAAAAAATCTTTTTGTACTAATAAAAGTCAAATAACTATAAATTAAGAAGCAAATATGATTGATTAAATTAGAACTAGAGCAGTTACCAAGACAAATGGGGTGTTTGGCAAGATAGAAAAGTGCTTTTCAAAAAAAACTTTTTCTCAAAATGAGGCAAACTCCTCCACATATTTACTTCATATATAGTAAAAGTATTTTTAAAATCATGGTTTGGCTTTTATCCAAACATCTCTAAAATTAGTCTTGTAGTATGTATAAGGCCCTCCTAAATCCCTATAGGCTTCAAGTTCGAATGTTAAAAGAAACATTAGTACTAGAAGAGGTAGTCACAAATCCCAAATAGGATCAGCCGGATGTCTGAAATATTTGGTAATATGATTGAAAAAATCACTGGATACCATATAATAGTATCAAAAGAATTAGAATTAGAGTGAATTCTAACCCCAAGGCAAGCGGCACAAATATTGATCAATTCTTTAATACGACCAATGTATTCGCTCAAAGACACAAATAAGAAACAAGTTAAACTTGCTCAAAAAGAAAATTCTCATTAATCTGAAAAACAGGCATACATAATATGAGAATATTTATAGTGAAAAAAAAAACATCTTGTCACTACTAAATCCTCATTATAAGTCCAAGCTGTTGGAGCTCATAACACTACTACAGAATTACAAATACTTGACAGTTATTCTGGGTCATATTTGATAGTTAAAAACCGTCAAGTATATTAACATCATATATTTCAACGACAGGTATTTGACGGTTATTAACCGTCAAATATTTCAATAATATTTGAAGGTTTTAAATTCAGAACCATCAAGTATTACTTGAACACTTGACGGTTTTTAAGAAAAACCGTTAACTATTGCTCCTAAATACTTGATGGTTACCATTAAAACCGTCAAGTATTGATGAACAATAATTGATGGTTTTACTTAGAAACTGTCAAGTATAAAGGAACAATAAGTATTGTCCAATAGTTCTAAACAATACTTGACGGTTAACATTAAAACTGTCAAGTATTAGCATAATACTTGACTGTTTTAAAACATTAAAACCGTCAAGTATTAGCATAATACTTGACGGCGCTAATACTTGACGGTTTCTATTAAAATCGTCAAGTATTTTCACAACACTTGATGGTTTTAAGTAATAACGGTCAAGTATTAGGAAAAATTTTTTTAATACGGGTTCTACTTTACCAGCCGCCCCCATGCAATTTTGAAATCTCATACAAAGCAGCATATTCAACAGAACCATACAGGCCAGCATTCAAACCAATAATTCAACCATATGAATGTAACCACACACGTGTATATGAGGCAGAAATTGACATTATATACATCTTAATTAATAGGAAACCAACTGTCATATTAAAACAACTTCTGTTTAAGGCAAGTAAAAATTTTGGACAAGTACAAAAGGTGAACCAAAACCAAAATTGGCCAATTGCCAAAGTTGTTCAATGCCAAAAACTAACCAACAGCAAAAAATGAACCAAAATTGAAACCAAAGCTATACATCTCTTCTACTTCCCTATCTATTTTGTGCCCACTAATGAAATAAGGCCATTGCAAACTCTTTAATAATTTCTTCCATCGGAGTGGAAGAATACACTGTGCAATATGTGTTGGCAAAGTATTGTATGCAACCACAAATTATATTGAAGTTAGATATAAATGTAAAGCTACAGTAAGTACAATTCTTAAATATATAAATTGAACTTTAACAAATGCATATTACCTGCATAGGGGTTGTGTCAGCATTGTGCATAATTATCTCCTTCATGAATTTCATCACACAATACCCATAATCAGAGCTCTTTTTGGGTTGATGTGGGCACTGTAAAGAATGGAAAAGGAAATAATATTAGTCAATCATATAAATAAACCATATTCAGTATAATAGTAAATAATGGTAATGAATACCTTCACTTTCTTCCATGGGAAGGTATTGTCAAATTGGCTATTTTTTACCGGGGGGCAAGGTAAGGCTTGATTTGTGCGGTATAGCCACAAAGCCCTGAGAAGACAATAAAATTGAATATTAATGATTCTCAAAAATTACATTGAAGCAAGAAATTAAATTTAGATAATAGATATAAATGTTACTTGTTGAACAATGAAACCATAAATGGTTGATTGGTTGGATCCCCATGAAGAGAATCGAGTTACCAAATCCCTGGCTTTGTGGGATTGACCCCAATCAGCATCCAGTGTCCCCTAATTATAAGAAAGACAATTAGAATAATTACAAAATATTTGAAAATAAAATAATTTAAGAAAGTTCAGTATACTACGTACGTATCCTTGATAGTAAGGCGCCAAAAACAAAGTCTCAGCCCCTACAACCCTAGAAATGAAGATATCCACTAAGTCTCTGAATAAGTATTTCTTCTTCATATTAGGTCCGTAGCCAACAAAAGTGTGGGGGCTAATAATCTTGAACTTGTCATCAAGGCCACTAGGGACTATAAAATTCTTGAAAAGGTATCTATATCAACAAACAAAGATATCAATAGAATAAATGCTCAAGTACTTAAGTATTTAGTTAAGGTTTTAACAAATATCTGATATAAAAGTTGCAGGTATTTATATTGGCTATTCCATGCGTCAGAATTTCTTTCAATACTTCATTTGTGACGTACTCTGACGAGGGTTGACCGTAGACCTCTGGCTCAAACTCTAGGGGAATCATGAAATTCTCGCCATGTTCTAATCTGGCCCCAGCTACATATTCCTTAAGACATATATGGAATCTTGATGATACCACTTGAATGGGCTTAGAGGACTGCTTCGATGGCGATGATAATGAGTGATTGCCCAATAGGCTCTTCTTCCTCTTAGATTGACAAACAGACTGTTGGTAATTAAAACAGAGTTTATTTTAAATTAACTGAATATACCTTTAAAGGATGTCCTGATGTAAGAAGACGGCGAGGCCAAGCAACAAAGCTACCTACTGCTTGAGCCACTGTCTCTGCATCTAGGATGGGCATTGAGAGGGCATAATTAGGATCAATAGCAGTGTTCAACTACACCCTCACATGATCAGCAAGGAGAGGCACATTATGAATCATGCTCTCTCTCGGTAAATTGAACATGCAACCCGTTGCAATAGTGTGATGTTTAGGGCTATTCGCCATACACTGAATGTCCGCTTCACCCTGATTTAACATAGGAGACAAGTTAGTATGACATGAAAATAATTGAATGCAATCGTACAAAGACAAGAAGTATTATACCTCAAGTAGCAAGGGGAATGTACAGCTGTCTTTGCCACTTGGGCTGAGATTCAGAGCCGGTCGTGGTGCTTGATTCTTGATCAATTGCTCGATTAGGAGCACTTACGCTTTAACTTGCTCCTTTAACCAGTGTGTTTCTTCCTTCAGCTCTATAAACTCAGCAGAGGAAGGCGTGCACGATGAAGAGGGCCTTTGTCGGTACCTGAAATAATCCTTCTTGGTGACTCCATAATTGACGCCTCTAAGAAGACCAGGATGATCAGGAGTCCCCAATGCCCTCCTCAATATATCCTGGTCATCTGCAAAATGTGCCTCTTGTGAAACTTCCCGGGACAAACTCTCCTGTGTAACAAACATTGTTAGAATTCATACTTTGAGATGTTTGACAACGTAAGGATTATTTAATTTAGAATAAAACTCACCATCTTATCCACGACCTCCTTGACATGAGGAGTATCAATTTGGCCATCTTTATTTTGCTTGGCCAATACCCACAGCATTTGACGGGATATAGTGACATATGATTCCTCCTTCTGAGTCACCTCTTCCTCGAGACCTGCATAACACAAGCACCCTTTTTGATAGGGATATTGATTCTTCTTTACCATTTCCTTATTTTGGGAGCTTAATTCTTGCAAAAACAAAGTAGATTCTAATTAAACAATATATATATTAAACAAAATGGACT